TAGGGTTTAGGGTTTAGGAGTTGCGGTGTTAGGGTTTAGTCATGATTTAGGGTTTAGGGAGCAAGCTAAGCACACGTTTTTGGGTGCATATCCCCGGCTGGGGGTTATAAAGGGACTCAATTTGGGATCCTACTGAGCCCTCAGTAAGCATCTCCCCCTAACATTAAGGGTTTGGGTTTAGGGTTTAATGTTGACTTCGTATTAATAAATAAACCTCCCCCCTCCCCCCCTCGATTGATCTATCTACGTCCCGGGAGACCCCCGGAATAATAATGCCAGAAATGTACGTTTGAAAGCCTATTTAGAGTTAATTGAAATCTAACTGAAATCCTTGTCCCGAAAAAAAAATACACGTTTGGGGGATATTATAATTGTGGGTGGAGTTATGATTGTGTTCCGGGCTCGGGATTTTGTAAATGTAGGGGTAGTTCTTAATGTGAAGTCAACACTAGGGCCAACATTGAATGTCCTTCCTAAGGTCAGGCAGGATTTTTGCTCTAAACAGTGTATCCCATGCATGGCTGTCGGTGCTGGCACATTGGTCTCATGGTTGCCCGCATGAGGACTACATCAGGGGGTCGTTCTTAGAGCTTCTACAGGGATTGCTTCGAGAAACTACCGTGTAATCAGCTTCTTTTGTAGTCTACAAACTGACACAGCCTTTGCTGTCCAAACAAGGGGCATGCCGACGTGGAGCATTCCTTCAGGCCGAATAAGGGTGCAAGTACGCAGTAATCATATAATTTCCCAAATCTAGTCCTACAATTACTACCCTAAGGCATCATCCTTAAATGTTACCCTAAAGGTCCAAGTACACAATATTCATACACACCAACCGAAGCCCAGAGCCTATACTAATACAATCCGTAGTACCAAAACCCCTAATACCCAATTATTGGGAACATGGACCATACACATTATACATTCGCTTTACATGTACATACCCTACTCCTGGTACCAATACCCAAGCGCGCATTTTCCTGGACCTTGCGGCCTGCTTATCCCTCTCCTCTTGAAGCCGAAAAGCCCCTGACGCACATCTAGAGGGTGTAGGGTTTAGGGTAGGGAAATATGTTATATAAACAGGTAATATCCTACAGCCTCCCATAGATGTAAGTATGGACAGCGCTAGATATGTACCTAGAGTATCCTGACCCCCTAAGAGGCGCACTAAACGTCGAGCGCCATATTCTAAACTGCATCCCAAGTAGCGGGCGGTAATACACTTAAAAACCAAGACCTTATAGGTCGCACATAACCCCCTGTTCAAAGGGACTGAATAAAGAATATCTGTATAAATCCCCTAAACCCGATGTAACTCCATGGAAGTCCTATATCAACATTATGGGTGTTTGGGCAGCTTCCATCTAAGTGGTGGAGGTGCTCATGACATCAGCCTTGGCCTCATTGGAGAAGAGCTCTTCCTGGCAGAGCGGAGTTTGCTGCCTGGCACGATTCCCAAAGGGTCCATGTAGCTATATGGGTGGTTGTCAAAATTTTGGCCCTTTTTGGATCCCTATTATAATACGGCACCTGACATTTGGGGTACCCAGAAAGGGACCATGATTTTGACAACCACCCATATAGTATTTACAGGAGCCCCAAAGTAGGTAGCCCAAAACGGTGATTACTAAACCCCCGCAACATTTTCCAGACCGATTGGGGAGGCCATGTCAGACGGAGAAGGTATCACACGATTGTAGCGCGACGCGCTCCTGCGAGATTTCTTTTCTGTGATGCACCTAAACCCAAAACCCTGAACCGCGGGGTCCCAAATCCATTCTATGATTCCTTGAGGTCTACTTACAGTAACCATAATCCGGAACAAAGTACAGATAGCAACACTCTAGGTGCGATAGGTACGAAGATTACTCCAGGTAGACAAGGCCTCTCAGATTTCAGGAATGTGAATTTTGTGGAGTTACCCCAAACTCTCTAATACTCGGAAGGTGTGTTGCAGGGTCTTCTCATGCAAGCTC